TAATAAATGTTTATGAATTATTTCGTTAAAGCTGTTGTTTCAAATGGACCGTTTATTTTGAAAATGGTATAAGTTCTTTTTTTTAAAGAAATTCAAAATGCCGAATCTGAGCTTGTATTGTCTAAATACCCCACGCAACGCCACTTACAATTTCTTTCGATGACATTGAACTTACACCACTTTCAAAATAAACGGCTCAAATAAAAATCACAATTTTTTATTACTTTAAGTCAATTATAGGACATTCAGTTAATTTTGAAAATGGTCTAAGTCAATTCAAGCTTTAAAAACAACATTTTCCTATGAAATTCACACAAAATTTCATATCTATAATAAATTTCCATTAATCAGGACTAATAAAATTATAAATTAAAATGTCGCATAATGTACAAATATTTTTTAATTTATTCAAATGCGATTCATTAAATATCTCGAAACAAGAAATATATGACTTAGACCACTTTCATAATTATGGGCACATATAACGGCAATGTGTGCGAGTGAGAGATAAAGGATGCCATGAAAACGTAAACACTTCGCTATTTCCTTTCTCACGTCCCCATTCCGCTCTTTTTTTCGTCACGTCCCCACTCCGCTCTTTCTTTTGTTACGTCCCCACTTCGTATTTTTTTTCGTCACGTCCCCGCTCCGCTAAGACGCGTGCCCGTTGCTTTGCCCTTAGCCCTGTCGATCAGCTCTGGTCTAGAGTCATGCTCTTGCCTTATTATATTTGATCTAAATACCGTGTTAGTGTTTTTCTTATACCGCTCGTTATTTGAATTTATTATCCTTTCTACGTGTTGTTCTCCATCTGTTCTCACGTCCTAATCTCATGTTTCATATTTTTTATTTAACGTGCGAAGGCTTAGGCGCTCGATACACTGACTCTCAGTCTCATCCTCGAATTCGAAATAAACACTTCAGAATCATACATCGCAGCAATTCTTTATTTCAGCTTTCATAATCCTCGAATATCACTGTGACGTATAGAGAAGTAGAATCAATAACAATTATCTAATATCAATTTGGAGATACTTGTTTTTCCTGCAATCCTTTTTCTGGTCATTGTAGAATGAATTATCCGTACCTGCTACAGTATGGTAGTTTGACATATCGTGACTATTTATATTACAAATAGACTGAATTTGATACACTTATATCAAAAATTGACAGTTGTAGTTTTAAAGAGAAAAGAAAATAGAAGAATAGGAAAATATCAAGAAATTACTTTCTACCTACTATAATATGATACAAAAAAGAAAGACAATCCTAAGTAGCTCTTCTTTCCTGCAACAAATGCACAAAATATTTATTTTGCATAAAGTCAGTCATAAAGCAATGCCATAAGTCAGTCCCATTAACCCTTTCGGTACGAGCGCGTTGTCCGCCGTGACACTTCCGCTGTACGGGGTGCCGCGCCGAAAATGCGCACATAACGCAGGGTCAGTCCACTTTTGTACGAAGATTTTCTTAAGCGTTAAGTAATGACTGTGCTTAATCCGTTTCTAAATCTTCTTTTAAATGTTTCCTGTAAACATTCTGAAAAGGGCCTACAGAAGTATGGCTTACATGGATGCCAAATGTATTCGGCACTCGTCCATATTGGTCATCAGATGGATACCGGATATATCCGGCGCTCGTACCGAAAGGGTTAACAAATGAAGTTACACATTTTGGCGTTGCAGGCGACGGTTCTTTTTGGATTGTTTTATACGAATCAAAATATTTATGTTAGGATCGATGTAACAAGATCGGGCAAATGCTTCGTTTATTCAGAAACGTAGTTGAGACCACTGAATCGTAAAATATCCTCAATTTGAGTCGTACAAATTATCGCGGATGTCGTTGTCGCTCGACGAAATCGCGTGAGCGAGAGTGAGCACGCAGTCAAAGAACGGACAAACGAACTAACACAACACTGCCTGACGAACGCGCGTCTTCAACTAACGACGTAGATCAAACGAAAAAGGACAGAGTGAAAACGAGGTGTTGGAAATGCCGACCGAAATATGACTCGCTTCTACGAGCTAACCAAAATAAGAAAAAATGAGTGTCGACCGATGTTCACCCCGACGAGTGAACGTACTATAAAGGGTTGTCGACCGAAATAGAAAGATTAAGCCTGTGGCGTCGCATCCCTCTATCTGAGCGCGGCCGCTAGCAATCAAACAAGTACCGGTCCTAATCCTCAAAATTCTCTAAAAATCACGCACCTGTAATAAAACAATTCTCCTCACATCTGGACACTTCGACCCGCACGGGACTTTCCTAACTTTCTCCCTTCCTACGAAAGTCCATCTATTCCTTTCTTCTCTTCCAGTATAAAAGAGACAAACGCGCAACTCCTCGAGCTTAGTCTGTTCTAAGTTCCTGGTTCCACGACGTCACGCTAGTCGCGCCCTTGCTCATCGATAGCATTTGAATGATCTGCATTAATAGTAACCTTAGTCACGCGCTCCGATTCGCTAACCTTTCCTTTAGTGCTAAAAGCCGATTGCCGAGATGCGCCAGCCGAAAGGTGCCCACAAAGTTTTGTCGGAATGCGACGATCGAAATATGTATGCTCACAATGAGCATCAAATTTTACAATAGAACCGTCTTGGTTTGTCGATCGATCGAGTGTTCCTCGCCGCTAGAGCGAGCGAGACGAAGCACATGCAACAGCGAAAACAAATTGTCACGAGGTACACAACATAAAGAACTGCGCGAACCCGACACCGGATGCACAGATTAGAACTTACCAAGAGAAAGAGCCAATGCTGCCGAAAACGTCGGCCGAAACGGAAGACTCTCGCGGAAGATTGTCGTAAGCGACAAGAGAGCGAGCGAGAGGACAAGTATTGCCAACACGATAATGCGTCGTAACATAATAAATAAATCTAGAATAATGCTCGTTCCCGTGTTTCGGAGCGGATTACGCGACTGGCAACGCCTCTCGTATTCGATCGTTCAGAAAGCCTTGCGGACCGGATACGAAGACCGAATCAAGGGTTATTCCTCGATTTTGGAGTCACGGAAGTCGCGGAATTCCCCCTACAAGAAATACTCGCACGAACAAAGATCGTTACGAAAACCGTACAGCGATGGAAACTACATCGGTATTGGAACTCGCTTTTCTTCTGGACACGCGGGGTTACCGTCTTTTTGTCCAGTCAAATAACGCGCTCCGAATTTACTCGGAAGGAGTCTGCTAATTCGTGGACAAAGTAGCAGCTTCCCTTCGACAACGAAGCTCCTAAACAGAGGGGAACGAGGAACAAAGAATAGTGAATTCCAGCGTGAAGTGCTGGTGTTCTGGAATAATACGACTGCTTACCTTGCCCTCTCGAACTCGACTGACTTGCGAAATGACGGCCGCGAACAGCTCTAGTTTCGTCGCGAACGAAACGACGATTTCTCCGGCTTTGCGGGGCCTACCACGCGATGTTTTCCGAAAAAGATGACGTGTTTGTGGTAATTGCCAATTCGGCAATGTCACGTAAACACGCCAGCACTTACGCAAGCACACGCACTCTTATGCTTCGCAGTTAGGAACCTAATGTAATCTAACAATTTACTTTATTTGAAAAGACTTTTCTGATCATACGAACATAAAACTATCGACATTTACTACGTTAAGTATGCTTGTTCGAAATATTGTATGCTGAAATAATGTTTGAAGCCAGTGTCGTTAACAAATGAGGTTCGAAACCTTGGTATTGGAAGCAAGGGTCTTTTCATTTAGGTTGTTTTACAGAAATGGAAATTGTTAATTTTTAACTGGAAAGCCTTTTCAAGTAACTTCGATGTGACGTTAACAAATGAATCTTTCCGTTGCCACATGACGAAATGAAGGTTCAGATCGACGGCAATGAAGAATTATCGACCTTGCTACTTCCGCTAACTTGTTGTACACGAAATCAACAGGTTCTCTATTCTGACAGGCACAATACACGACCATCGAGATCCCAAATCGATATTTCAATCCATCTCCGCGACCATCGTCGTCTCGTTTTCGCGGCGTTGCGGATTGCTTTCGACTGGGACGCGAATCCATACGTTTTTACGGAAGTAGAGCAGTGTATGTACAAATATGCAGGTCTTCCAATCTCGAGAGACGAACAGTTTCATCTGTGACGTCGTGTGCGCCGTTATTCTACTAAGTGGAGTTGAAAACTATATTTCATCGGGAACAAATGTACATCGTTGCGCGCGGCAACGTAAAAAGAAAATAGAAATTGATACTGGATGCGAAAGCTGCGCCTCTCTTTCCCTGTAATCGATTTCAGAAACATCAGTTAATTAGACTTATTGTAAAAAAATTGTGTCGGAAAAGTATTAATTAAAAAAAATTGTTTCACCAATTTTTGTGACGTTGTTCGTCTTTGCGGCGTTTTCAAGCAGTGTGTAATATAAACTGTTTGTATAGACTGAAATGGTTTAGACACATTTGTGTGAGACTGTTTTATTGTAAGCGCGATTTGAATGTTGAATTGAACGATATTGAATGTATGAAATGGGTGATGAAAATAGTTGAATGAGAGTTGCATGGCTGTTTGAGATTAACCCGAGAAAGATAACCTACGTCGCAGAGGCGCCTGCGAAGACTGTTGATTTTTGTTAATTTTTCATAGAGGTCTAGTGATTTAAGTTTAAAATTACTTAAAATATAAAAAAATATAATATAAATGCATTTTATTTTTACAATAATGCCAAACCTTTAAAATGACTAGATTAACTTAAATAAATATCCATTGTTAGCATAAAATTGACGCCTTAGAAAAGCATGCGCCTCTGAAGCGTATGGTTATCTTTTACGTACGTTGTCATATGGTTATCTTTCTAGGGTTAAGAAATCGAGTAAAAAATATATCCAGTTTATTAAATATTTATTGTCATAAAAATAGGTTTTATTATACAGTGTGGGCCGGAATTCGTAGTACAACCGAGAAGAGGATAATTCTAGGTGAAAAAATGAGAAAACAGTTTGGTAGAACGTTTTTTTATCCAGGGCTCCGTTTTCGAGAAAATCAACTATAAAGTTTGTTCATCTTTGTAATGGATTTAATCGTCGCTATTCTTCTACCGCAAGTGTCTCTGTCCGAGATAATGTTTACGAACATTAACAATGATTCAACATTCTGTTTACTACTGTCTCTTGCTCAGAAAAAGTGAATCGAGAAAAGTGTATTCGATTTCCACCAAATCACCCATGTTACCGTCCTTGCAAAAGTAGGGTAAACGCGTTTCCCTTATTGACAGAAATGATCCCTTCTCATTAGCCCCAAATTAGTCGCCATACTGAATTTCCATGAGATGAGTTCGGCCGAATAAAAACAAACAACGCCTCCTAACTCCCGTCACGTCTCGCTCCACCATGGTTGCCGCTTTCGGTTAGTAGAACATCAGACGCGTGTTCCTGTGCTTTCTGTGGGTATGTGTGTGTGTGTGTGTGTGTGTGTGTGTGTGTGTGTGTGTGTGCGTGTGTGTGTGTGTGTGTGTGCGCGTGTGTGTGTGTGTGTGTGGGTGTGTGTGTGTGTGTGTGTGTGGGTGGGTGTGTGTGTGTGTGTGTGTGTGGGTGGGTGTGTGTGTGTGTGTGTGTGTGGGTGGGTGTGTGTGTGTGTGTGTGTGTGTGTATCACTTACACAACCACGACCGAGCGAGATGCGCGACGGGAGTCAAGAAGCGCAGAACAGTCAAGACAAAGTGAAACAGACACAAGAAGTACGAAAGCGTTGGCTTGTCCCTAAAGCATTAACTTCAAAATGTCCTGATGAACACGTAATTATTTGTAACTACTAATTAGCATTTTTGATTAACTTTTCATTGCATTATGCAGCAAACGTGCTGTACTATACGCATATTTTTTGACGCGAAGGGTAAGGAATACCCCCGTTGTCCTTCTGTCGAAACGACGAACTGCAAATACTACCTCGATTAGAGGTAACTACAGCAAAAGAATAGACAACAACTAGATCTTTTACAAAGATGATCAAATTTAAAGTAGATTTTCTCGAAAACGGAGGCCCGGATAAAAAAATGTTATACCAATGTTTCTATGTTTTTTATGTAGAGCACCCTTTGCTCGGTTGCACATACACAGGGTGTCCCAGCATCGATGGTATAATCGGGAAGGAGGTGATTCGATATGAAAAAAACAAATCGAAAATAGGGAACAACATTTTTTCATTTGAGGCTTTGTTGTCGAGAATATCGACTTGGAATATTCAACAGTGGAATAATCAACTTGGAATATTCAGTACGCGTCCAGTTAATACGTAACTATGATTTATATGTGTGGATGGATCTCGATAGAAGTCACATGCTAATATTATTAATATTAATATAATGTACTGCGTTACTCATTTCTGTCCATGGATTTAGGGTGGATTTAAATGAAAATAAGGCATGTCATTTCATCATCAATTTACTTTATTAATGCAAAAATTGTTGAAAACGCTGAATGTTCAAAGTCAATTTTCGTGACAACGAAGCATCAATCGAAAAAATTTTATTATTTACGTTCGATTAATTCTTTTTTCATATTCTCTCCCAGATTGTATCAACGATGGTGGGACACCCTGTACATAAACTGTGGTGTGCTTAAAATCCAATAGAATGTTGCTTGTATATCGAAAATAGTTTGAAATTCTATCAGACCGCGTGAAATTTTTTGGCATTATTAGAAATTCTATAGAAGCCGCAGTCGCGGTCCAAAACTTTGTCAACGTTTAATCATACAGTGGCCCACAAAAGTGTCCATACACCTTTTGACCAACGTGCACCTTCATCAACTGAACTAAATGATTTGAATTAAAAAGCTTTTTTTTTTAATTTTGCTATTACTTGGAAGGGAAAGAAAAAATTAAAAACCCTTCTTTTTTAACTTTTTATCTAAGCCTATAACGAAAATTTAAAAAGTGCCTTTTGTAGATCTCAGTAACTTATATGCGTACTGAAAATTTGATCGAAATCGGTTAACCCAGAGTCGAGCTATAGGCGTCGAAGGATTTTAAAAACTGCAGATTTCTTCCAGTTTTTGGTCAAAATCGTGATAAAACTGCGATTTTTGCGATCTTTGATTTATTGTAACTCATAACAACGTGAACCGATTTCGATAAAATTTTCAACATGCATATAAGGCGAGATCTACGGAAGACATTTTTTAAATTGTCGTTATAGGCTCAGATAAAAAAGTTAAAAACGAGAGATTTTTATTTTTTTCTCATTCGTAGTAGTAGTAAATTTAAGAAGAAAAGCATTTCAATCATCGCCTAGTAGACTAGTCACTCTATCATCTAAAGAAATTCAAGTCATTTGGTTCAGTTTTAAAATATTAGGGTGTCCCATATGTTCTTTCCGCGCCGCGCTATTAATGAATCTAACTGGCTGCGTTTATATAAACGCGCAGACTTACCTCTTGGCTGTTTAGGGTATCGGTTTCAGTCATCCCAGAGCTCTTTTAGAGTACGTAAAATTTTTTTTACGCCGTTCAATATGGATACCCAAAAGAAGCATTTGCGGCATGTTATGCTTCATTGCTTTAAAAAAAGTGATAGGGCAAAGAACACTGCAAACGAGATTTGTACCGTTTACGGTGATGGTTCTACGACTATTAGGACAGTCCGCGATTGGTTTAAGAGATTTAGAGCTGGCAATTATGATTTGGAAGATGAAAACCGCAGCGGCCGTCCAACAACGACGGATGCGGACCTTATCAAAGATATGCTCGCTGAAAATCCGCGATATAGTGCGCGCGAGATAGCGGATGCCACTAACATACCCAGGACAACGGTACATAAGCATTTAATCAAGATGGGATATGTGAATCGATTCGAAGTTCCACACCGTCAAATTTTCATCACGACAACGCAAAACCGCATGTTGCGTTGGTCGTAAGACAAAAATTATTGCAGTTTGATTGAGACGTTCTACCTCATTCGATTATTACTTGTCCTTCTCGTTAAAAAATTCTCTCCGTGAAAAACGGTTTAAATTCGTAAGCGAAATAAAAACGCACCTTGATCAATATTTTGCAAATAAGCCTCAACAATCTTGGAAAGACGGCATAA